GTATGTAGTTGTAAATGAAGGGGTGATTCTTAAACTATATATATATATATATATATAGAAAGCCTAGAGTGCACAACATGGATACAGTCATGTTCGAGAAAAGACGGCATGCCAGACAGATTTCTTTTTGCCTTTGGCCTATAATATAATTACTGATATACAACCTTTTTAGGATATATCCGTATGTTACTAATGAGCTTCAAACTATAATCCTTCCCTAGCTTAAATTATATATATATATATAACCGCTGTAAGGCCTATTAACTGGAAACAGCAATAGCCTAGAGTGCACAACATGGATACAGTCATGTTCGAGAAAAGACGGCATGCCAGACAGATTTCTTTTTGCCTTTGGCCTATAATATAATTACTGATATACAACCTTTTTAGGATATATCCGTATGTTACTAATGAGCTTCAAACTATAATCCTTCCCTAGCTTAAATTATATATATATATATAACCGCTGTAAGGCCTATTAACTGGAAACAGCAATAGCCTAGAGTGCACAACATGGATACAGTCATGTTCGAGAAAAGACGGCATGCCAGACAGATTTCTTTTTGCCTTTGGCCTATAATATAATTACTGATATACAACCTTTTTAGGATATATCCGTATGTTACTAATGAGCTTCAAACTATAATCCTTCCCTAGCTTAAATTATATATATATATATAACCGCTGTAAGGCCTATTAACTGGAAAAAGAAAGTAATAGCAATAGCCTAGAGTGCACAACATGGATACAGTCACGTTCACAGGATCAAGAAAAAACGGCATGCCAGACAGATTTCTTTTTGGCCTTTGGCCTATAATATAATTAATGATTAACAACCTTTTTCAGGATATATCCGTATGTTACTAATGAGCTTTACAATATAACCCTTCCCTGGCTTAAATTATATATATAAACCACTGTAAGGCCTATTAACTGGAAAAAGAAAGTAATAGGAATAGCCTAGAGAGCACAACATGGATACAGTCATGTTCAGAGGATCAAGAAGAAACGGCATGCCAGACAGATTTCTTTTTACCTTGAGTTGTCAGGACCATGTCTTCAGTCTTCACTATTAACTCTTTCGTTTATAAATACATGGCATTTGTTGGTAAAACCTTTGCACACACTATTATGAAAGAACCATAATATTGTACCTAATTCCAACCTATACATATTAAAGGCTTAAATATAATTTTCGTGCATGTAATTTATCGTTTTTCCACTTTTAGTCCCTGTAAATTTTTTCGTTGTTGTTTCATTCCTAACCTTTTATAATGTTTCAAAAATAGTTTCAGCCATTAACTTTAGTTAAAAAAAATTCTATATGACAAACAAAATACATATTATATTCATTATATTTTATTTCATTATTGTCACATACATAAATTAATTTTAAAATTATTTTAGACAAAATTTCAAAATGCACTTCATTATTGTCACTTTATCATACTCTTCATGCACACTTTCTTTGAACTATGAAACGTCAAATCCTAGCTATCATTGGTGATAGAGCTAGAAAATCAACCTCCCTTCTCCGATGAGGTGTCCTACTCGTTGTTGTGACAGTTGCAATATGTAACGACGGTCTTGATTATCTTGAACCAACCGACATAGTTCTTCTTAGAGTTGAAGGAGGCGGCTTTGGTAGTGGTGCCAACAAAGTAGTGACGCTCTTGCAACACATGAGCTCTTACACGATGGGAAAGTAGTTGAACATGAGGTCAAACTCCTCCATAGTGAGGAGACGACCAACAATGACCTCATAGAGGCAGTAGTCATTGAGGACGAACTCAATATTGTTATCGAGATTGTAGATTGGGAGAAGTTGATCCTCATTGGGGGGATTGGGGTTTAGATTGAGAAATTTAGGGTTTGTATTGTCAGATTTTGACTGAAGAGGGGAAGCACAATCATGAGGGTGAGGTTGAGGGTTTGGGTGCGGTGAAGTGCATTTTGAAATTTTATCTAAAAAAATTTAAAATCAATTTACTTGCATAGCAATGATGAAATGAAATATAACGAATATTATATGTAATCCATTTGCCACGAATATAATATGTATTCCATTTGCCACATAGGATTTTTTTAATGGTAGTTGACAATAAGGACTATTTTTGAAACATTATAAAAGGTTAGAGATAAAAGTGAAAAAACAATACATTACAAGAACAAAAATTATATTGAAACTTACTTCCTTGAAAACATTGTTAGCGCACATGCATAAAAGAACTCATGTTAACCAGTCACTGCCGCTTCTTTCCGTAGTCTAGGCTATTCTAATCCGAAAATCTCCTCCATTTCAAGTGTTCATCCATTGGTTTCAAGCTCCTTTGAAGAGGTCTAAGCTTTGGTGAATTTGAGGAGAAGAACACCTATCACCTCTCCTAGTTTTTGCCATCAACAAGATTTATTTTCTACTCTTACGTATCTCTATATACAATGAAGAATCAGAATTACGTAATTGTTTGTAAAAAAATATTTGCGTGTTGATATATTTAATTAAATATTATTTTTTTATTAAATTTAAGATTCATGTTTACGACCTTTATAATTATAAAATAGATTATATAAAGTGAATCCATGATAAAAATAAATAAATAGGAAATAACTTGTTTGAACAACTTAGAATTGAGTTATAGATAAAAAAAAAACTCAACACTTTGAAATTATAAAAAAAAAGTTTTAAATTGGAAAACTTAATAGTTATTAGTATTAAAATATTTTATACTATATCATTATTGAAATGAATTTATACTTATTTTTTTATAAAAAATAACAATTTATTATAAATGATTGTTTGTGATTGAAAGATGTTGTAAAACTATTTTATGATATCACTTATTTTTTTCTTAATTATATATAAAGTAATTTAATCTAATTTATTTTTAAGATAAATATATATTTCATAACTATTTATTTTTAGTAAAATATATGTTATAAAATTAAATTTTAATATAAATTTATGTTTTAAAATTATTTATTTATTTTCTTTTTACTGAATATTTTATATTTTAAAAAATATTTATAAATACTTGTAGAAATATATAAAATTCACAAATATTTACTAAAATACACTTACGCTAAAATGTGACAAGTGACCAGATAACTACTTACACATATGTGTCTCATTTTGTAAAATCTCTCGATTGCTCCTCCTTCGGGTGTCTCTCTCTCTCTATGTTTTTTTTGGGTTATATTTTCGATTTTTCAATAGATTGAAAATAAAGTCTTTATATGGTGGTTCTGAATTCATATATAACATTACAAGGCATCGTGACACTGCTATCAAATTGGTCATTTTTTTTAGACTCATTTGTTCACGCCCTTGATTTTAATGCTTTTTTGTTTCAAGTATTTTTGTCAATGTCGCATTTTTTCATTTCATCCTTGAATTGCAATTTAATTATTTTAATATTGAGTTAATTGTACTTAGGGAACGTTTGACCGAACATTTTTTTCCTTGCTTATAAGTAGCTTTTAAATTAAAGCAAAAAATAAGAACTTAAAAAGAATATGTAAAAATTGTTTGTTAATTTTTTTTTTAGCTTAAAGTTAATTTTAAACTACAAGTTATATAGTATTTTAAAAAAATCAAATTATATAATATTAGTTATCTCATTCAATAAAATAGTATATTTATAAAATAAAAATATTATGTAAAATCATTTTAATAATAAGAAAAACAAATAAAAAATATTGAAGATCAAAATATTGAAATTTTAATTTTTAAAATGTTAAAAAATGCTCATTCAATAAATTTTTATTTCAATGATGATTTAAAAATAATCTATACTATATACAAAGGGATACCTCCACAATTTGTTTTCAGATATTTATATGCTTTTATTATATATTAATTTTTTCCACCACCATATTTTGTCAGAGTAAAAAAATATATATAAAAAATTAAATATAATCCACTTTATTAATAATAACTAGCATCTTATTTTGTAATAATTTTGTTTAATCTACATAATTTCACTTTTTTCTTCTTCTAATTATACATTATTTCACTCAATTTACATATGTTGTAAGTTATATTATTTCTATTATTTTTATTGCATATTATTTTTAAACAAAATATATATAGGCATGAAGTGCCTCGATCCCACTGATATACATAATATCAAGTGAGAAACTTTGGATTTAAATTACAAGTGATAAAATATTTAAGGCATTATATACAATAATATTTTTTTTAAATAAAAATCTTATTTAGGCAAAATCTAATAATTAACCAAAAAATATATGGGAAAAAATAGAATAAAAAATGCAAGAGGAAAATAGCCAATATGGAGTTTAAATAAAATAAAATAAAGATAAGAGTAAGAGTAATTCTCAACAAAAGAAAATAAAATAAATAAGATACATACAAATAGTAACCAATATTGAGATTTGAAATGAAGTACTAAGAGCAACTTCAATGGGAGTTGCTTGTCTTATGAAGTAACTCAAGTGCCGGTTTCTTACCATTGGAGGACTGTGACGTGATAATAACATGAGTTGCTTGAAGAAGAGAGAGAGTTGTTTCCTCAAGCAACTGTTCCTTACCAGATTTTAAGCAGATCTCATTGAATATATTTGGAAACATTTCGGAAATAATAATGATGAAAATTAATTTCGTATAATATTTATGTATTTATTATTGCTTTATTTTATTTTTAATATCTACTTACACTACTAGAAAAATTAATATTTGTGACGAATTTTGTGACGGAAAAAATAGTATCGCTAATAGTGACGCATTTTGTGAGGGAATTTTAAGTTTTGTGACGGACTAGAATTTATTGAATTTTGTGACGGATTTTGTGACGGAATATATTCTGTCTCTAAAAATCCGTCACAAATTTCGTCACTGAATAAAAAAAAAAAAACTTGTGACGGATTTTGTGATGGAAAAATTTTCGTCTTTAAAAATCCGTCACAAATTTCATCGCTAAATAAAAAAAAATGTTTGTGACGGATTTTGTGACGGAATGCGGCATGCCAGACAGATTTCTTTTTGCCTTTGGCCTATAATATAATTACTGATATACAACCTTTTTAGGATATATCCGTATGTTACTAATGAGCTTCAAACTATAATCCTTCCCTAGCTTAAATTATATATATATATATAACCGCTGTAAGGCCTATTAACTGGAAACAGCAATAGCCTAGAGTGCACAACATGGATACAGTCATGTTCGAGAAAAGACGGCATGCCAGACAGATTTCTTTTTGCCTTTGGCCTATAATATAATTACTGATATACAACCTTTTTAGGATATATCCGTATGTTACTAATGAGCTTCAAACTATAATCCTTCCCTAGCTTAAATTATATATATATATATAACCGCTGTAAGGCCTATTAACTGGAAACAGCAATAGCCTAGAGTGCACAACATGGATACAGTCATGTTCGAGAAAAGACGGCATGCCAGACAGATTTCTTTTTGCCTTTGGCCTATAATATAATTACTGATATACAACCTTTTTAGGATATATCCGTATGTTACTAATGAGCTTCAAACTATAATCCTTCCCTAGCTTAAATTATATATATATATATAACCGCTGTAAGGCCTATTAACTGGAAACAGCAATAGCCTAGAGTGCACAACATGGATACAGTCATGTTCGAGAAAAGACGGCATGCCAGACAGATTTCTTTTTGCCTTTGGCCTATAATATAATTACTGATATACAACCTTTTTAGGATATATCCGTATGTTACTAATGAGCTTCAAACTATAATCCTTCCCTAGCTTAAATTATATATATATATATAACCGCTGTAAGGCCTATTAACTGGAAACAGCAATAGCCTAGAGTGCACAACATGGATACAGTCATGTTCGAGAAAAGACGGCATGCCAGACAGATTTCTTTTTGCCTTTGGCCTATAATATAATTACTGATATACAACCTTTTTAGGATATATCCGTATGTTACTAATGAGCTTCAAACTATAATCCTTCCCTAGCTTAAATTATATATATATATATAACCGCTGTAAGGCCTATTAACTGGAAAAAGAAAGTAATAGCAATAGCCTAGAGTGCACAACATGGATACAGTCACGTTCACAGGATCAAGAAAAAACGGCATGCCAGACAGATTTCTTTTTGGCCTTTGGCCTATAATATAATTAATGATTAACAACCTTTTTCAGGATATATCCGTATGTTACTAATGAGCTTTACAATATAACCCTTCCCTGGCTTAAATTATATATATAAACCACTGTAAGGCCTATTAACTGGAAAAAGAAAGTAATAGGAATAGCCTAGAGAGCACAACATGGATACAGTCATGTTCAGAGGATCAAGAAGAAACGGCATGCCAGACAGATTTCTTTTTACCTTGAGTTGTCAGGACCATGTCTTCAGTCTTCACTATTAACTCTTTCGTTTATAAATACATGGCATTTGTTGGTAAAACCTTTGCACACACTATTATGAAAGAACCATAATATTGTACCTAATTCCAACCTATACATATTAAAGGCTTAAATATAATTTTCGTGCATGTAATTTATCGTTTTTCCACTTTTAGTCCCTGTAAATTTTTTCGTTGTTGTTTCATTCCTAACCTTTTATAATGTTTCAAAAATAGTTTCAGCCATTAACTTTAGTTAAAAAAAATTCTATATGACAAACAAAATACATATTATATTCATTATATTTTATTTCATTATTGTCACATACATAAATTAATTTTAAAATTATTTTAGACAAAATTTCAAAATGCACTTCATTATTGTCACTTTATCATACTCTTCATGCACACTTTCTTTGAACTATGAAACGTCAAATCCTAGCTATCATTGGTGATAGAGCTAGAAAATCAACCTCCCTTCTCCGATGAGGTGTCCTACTCGTTGTTGTGACAGTTGCAATATGTAACGACGGTCTTGATTATCTTGAACCAACCGACATAGTTCTTCTTAGAGTTGAAGGAGGCGGCTTTGGTAGTGGTGCCAACAAAGTAGTGACGCTCTTGCAACACATGAGCTCTTACACGATGGGAAAGTAGTTGAACATGAGGTCAAACTCCTCCATAGTGAGGAGACGACCAACAATGACCTCATAGAGGCAGTAGTCATTGAGGACGAACTCAATATTGTTATCGAGATTGTAGATTGGGAGAAGTTGATCCTCATTGGGGGGATTGGGGTTTAGATTGAGAAATTTAGGGTTTGTATTGTCAGATTTTGACTGAAGAGGGGAAGCACAATCATGAGGGTGAGGTTGAGGGTTTGGGTGCGGTGAAGTGCATTTTGAAATTTTATCTAAAAAAATTTAAAATCAATTTACTTGCATAGCAATGATGAAATGAAATATAACGAATATTATATGTAATCCATTTGCCACGAATATAATATGTATTCCATTTGCCACATAGGATTTTTTTAATGGTAGTTGACAATAAGGACTATTTTTGAAACATTATAAAAGGTTAGAGATAAAAGTGAAAAAACAATACATTACAAGAACAAAAATTATATTGAAACTTACTTCCTTGAAAACATTGTTAGCGCACATGCATAAAAGAACTCATGTTAACCAGTCACTGCCGCTTCTTTCCCACCAAGAATATGACAGAAAAACTAAATACTTTTTCTTCCCCAATATTATATTTCTACTGCACAATTATTATCTATCAATTTTACTAATTCATTTATTATTCCAAAATTAGCTGATAGGATGAATCAAATTATTCACATTGGCATTAATTTTACTTAAATCCTAGAAGCATACATGTTTTATTGTATCTATTTCCCATAGTCAGCTCACCTGCAACCGAGTTATAAGGGCACAAAACCGAGTCACCTTTTTTCTTTCTGATAAACAAGTCTAAGACAAAGAGAGTGAATCTAGTCATTCTTTGCTAACCTGAACATGTCCCCTGATCCTCCAACTGGCACACTGGTCGAAATATAACATTTGAACAATCGTATTCCCCCATCTACAAGTGTATGGCCGTCAAAACATGGGTAGGCTCCAAGGAAACACGTGCATTGAGGACATCTAAATTCACGCCAATCAATATCCTTTGAAAGGTTTGATAATCTAGCCATGAAAATATCTTCAAGAAAACCGTTGAGGAAGGATTTTTGATTTCCCAAAATTTCCACGGTCTCAGTTGACATCCCTTCTTTTCCATCAGTTCCACATAAATGATGTTCCCTGTCACCATTCCCAAGATTGCTTGTCATATGAGCACAACAACTAGAAGCTTGGTTCACATCTTTGGCATCATCTGAATCTGGACGTGAGTCAGAGAAATCACTATGATCAGGTTCATTCTTAACAAACTCACATCTGGAATTCACAGAAGCCTTATCATTCTCAGGATGTGCAAACCTAGAACTCTCATCAAAAGCAAGAGTCACTCCACTATCATCACTGCAAGTTAAATCTCTTTCACCATTCAATTCACAGTTTCTCATGCCTTTGCCAACACCATCATCTCTGGGGTTTTCTGCTATAGAAATAGAACTACACCCTTGCTCTCCACACCCTTTGCCAACACCACCATCATCGATGCAAGTTGAAGTTCCTTCATCACTCAATTCACAGTTTCTCATGCCTATGCCAGCACCATCATCTCTGGGGTTTTCTACTATAGAACTACACTCTTGCTCTTCACACCCATTGTCAACACCCCCATCATCACTCCAAGTTGAAGTTCTCTCACCATCCAATTCACAGTTTCTCATGCCTTTACCACCACTATCATCTCCAGGGTTTTCCGTTACACAACTCCACTCTCGCTCTCCACACCCTTCAAGAAAATCACATTCCACAAGATCATCCTTGCAAAGTGTGACAGAAGTAGAACTCAATAGACACATCCCCGGCGCGCACATATATGAACTCACATACCTCATCACCATCTTCTCACTTATCCCTCCAAACGAACAACAACAAGCCCCAAACCAGTTATCAGCCACCTCTCTCCAATTCACCGAAGGCATTTCAACAAAAGTCCTAAACAAGCAATACAAACAAAAGCCTCAACAATATAACATGAAAAGAAAAAAAAAAGAAAAAAAATAGCCCCAGGACCCTATTACTGGCAGTATATTATCACATTTCTTTTTTTAAGGGTTTGTTTGGATTCCAGAAGCATTACTAGAAAAAATACGTAGAAAAATTGAAATAAACTTTTCCATAAACTAAAACTAGCTTATGCATAAGGATCTGTTTGGATAAGTTTCTTCAAAAACACTTCTAGAAGGAAAAAAAAAATAAGAAGAAAAATTGAAATGAGCTTCTCTATAAGCTAAAAAACCAGCTTATACATAAGTTAAAAAGTAAGATTTTGGAGAAGCTAATAAGATAGAATATCTACAAATTAACTTATTCACAAGCTAATTTTAGCTTATTGAGAAGCTCATTTCATTTTTTTCCCCTATTTTTCTTTCTTAGAAGTATTTCTATAGAAGTTTATCAAAACAAGCTCTAAGTTAAACATAAGATTTTAGAGAAGCTAATAGAAGAGAGCTTTCATGATTTAGTTTATACATAAACTAATTTTATTTTATGGACAAACTTATTTCATTTTTTTTCTTCCTTTATTCTTCTCCTAGAAGTGCTTAAGTTTACCAAACAAACCCTAATTTTAACCTCATATACCAACAAACCATGTGTAAGACAAAAAAGAACCCCCAACATTACTAACTTTTTCCTAAGCTTTTTTTTTTTTTTTTTTTTTAAGTACTTTTCCAAAATTAACTGAAGCAAACATTGACATGGTACCTGAGAGGAACTTTGGTCAACTTGAAGGCGCAAGTTCTGCAGTAAAAGTCAACTTCTCCTGCAGAAGACAATTTTTCCACATCTGCAACAAAAGAAGAGATGGAAAATAAACGCATTTCGGAACAAACATATTTAAAAAAAAAAAACGAATAATTAGAAGCGGCATTTTGAGGTTACCGGATTGTGAAAAGTAAATTTGTGTTTGAGTTGCTTAATGCTAATATGGCACACTAAGGACCACTTTTTTCATTTTTCAATGCATGAAACAACTCAAATGAGTTACTTCTATTGGAGATGCCCTAACAACAACAAAATAAAAGAAAATAAAATGCACACAAATAGCAACAAATCGAAATGAGGTGCTGATAAAAAAACCTCCTTTAAAAAGAGAATGTATACAGGTAAAAATTTATTATTAAACAAATAGAAAAATATTTATATTTATTATTTATAATATTTATTTAAGTTGTCTATTTATTATTTGTTTATTTATTTATTATTTATGACGGGTTTTATTTGTGGATATAAGTTTTTTTTTATCACCCATATAAGAGAAAGAGAATTGAATAGGAGAATGAGAAGGCAAAGAATAATTTATTCTCGTAGTTTAAATGGTGGATTGCTACACTTTTGTGTTTAAACGATATTGATTCAAAGATATTATCCTGGGTAAGTTTTATGCTTTCCTTTTTTAAACATTTCAATATTCATGTTGTAACATTGTTAAAAAAAAAAAAGAGGCTGATTCAGTAGCTACCATACCCACCTTCGCTCTCGCTCTCGCTCTCTGCTCCTCCAAGCCAAATATAAGCGCCATTGGTCGTGAATAAAAAAGTTAGTTAAACAAAATTTTGAAGAAAAAAAACATGAAGTTCGGATAAAAGGTTAGAACTGTGGCTGCTGGGATTCGAGCCCAGGTCTCCACGGCCACAACGTGGAATTCTCACCACTAAACTACAGCCACCCTTGACACTAATTGCTTATATAACCTTTATATCTATTAGTATTGCTGGAGTTATAACTAACTTCCTAACCTTGGTCTGTGATATCCTAAGTAATAATACAAAACAACCTCTTAATTCTTTTGTAAAGTGTGAATTTTTTTAATGGGTTCTGATTATACTTTTGGTATATTGGATTCGTGCTGTGAAATTAATATTGAATTTTGTTTGTCATGATCTTTAATAAGTAATTACTCATGATCTTTAAGTTCATTTTACACTATATAAACTTTAGTATAGATGAGTTCTGGACTCTTAAAAAATTTGGGCTCAATCTAACTAATAAGCTGTATACATTGGTCCAATAATTAAAACACATTAATTAGGCTCCAAAAGGAATTTATCGAGAAGCTTCTGGTGGCAGATAAAACCTCAACACAAATGAAAAATATAAATCATGTTCTTTGAAGTTTTTTTTTCAGAGAAATCTATTAGAGGTGACAATTCTGGTAAGTTTTGTTTAAGGAGACATTTTCACACTGCTTCATATAATAAATACCAAGATAACTAAAACATACACGGCCAAAGTTCAGCCTTATCATTTTATTCCAATTAATATTAGGCATTATTTAGAGAAATTAATTGTGTTGTACATCGGTGTGATAGTAAAGTTATATGGTGTCTTTTCTAGTATAGTTTTCAATTGAGGTTTTAAATTTATCTCTTAATTTTGGAAGAGATTGTATGAGGCTTTAGAAACAAAGCTAAGGTTGAGTTCAGCCTACCATCTTTAAACTAGTGGTCAAATTGAGAGAATCATCCAATCCTTAAAGAAACTCCTTTAAGTTTGTGTTTTAGAACATGAGAGTAGTTAAGATAGTTTCTTACCTTTGATAAATTTTACTTACAAATAGTCATCATTCCTACATTGGAATAACACCTTATGAAACCTTGTATGGTAGGAATTGTAAGACACATTTTAATTGGATAGAACCCAAAAAGAGCATATGTTAGGACCAAAAGTAATCCATCAGACCACAAGAAAAGTAAGGTTAAAATCCAAGAGAGGATGAGAACTACCCTAGAGTTGGCAAAAGAGTTACCATCATAAGAAGAGGAAAGAGCTTGAGTTTAAAGAGGAAATCATGTATTCTTAAAAGTAATTCCTTAGATTGGTGTTGGTAGGGAATTGAAGTCCCGTAAGTTTACTATTTGATTCATATATGAGCCCTTACCAAATTTTGAAAAGAATCGGCAATGTAGCTTACCAAATAGTTTTGACTTGGTCTCTTTCAAACTTGCATAGTATCTTCCATTTGTCTCAACTCATAAATATATCCATGATCGCTCCTATGTCCTTGAGTTTGACAACATTCATCTAAAAGACAATCTCACTTATGAAGTTTTACGTTTGAAAATTGATGACAAGAGGGTGAAACAGTTAAGAGAGAAAGAAATTCTTTTAGTTAAAATTGTTTGAGGAGGAATCTACGAGGAAAATGCTACTTGGGAAATGGAGAGTGAAATTTGTGAGTCCTAGCCTTTCTTGCTTGCTATAGGTAAAATTTTGGGGACAAAATTTCTTTTAAGGAGGGGGAGAGTTGTAACCTCCCAAGTTTATAAATAGAATAAAATATGATTATTAACAATTAAATGTGTTTTATGAAATTAAGAAGGGTTTGCAAAAATATTAATTACATAATATAAGTATTACTTTGAGGGTTATATTTGTTTTATTTTAAAAAAAGAAAAGAAAAGGAAGAAGAGTTAATCTTGGGTTAATTCCTTTAACCTAAGAGTTGTATGGTTGTAAGGGGGTTATTTTGAAGGGGTTAAGTCATTAGGTTGATTTTACATTTTACGTTTATGTTTCTTCTCTTTTTTCCCCTAAACCTTATAAACCCACAAGGAGAACCTTGAAGCTATAGGAAAGAATCCTAGAGATTCCCTAACATCGTCAAACATTTATTGAGGTAAGGGAGGAGTGAGTTATCTCGTTTATGGGTGTGAGGTAATTGTTGGTAGTGAGATATATTGCCCCCAATCCCTATGTTTGTACTCTATTGCTTTGTAAGAAACCTTGAGACATTTAATTTGCTTGCATTTAAGGAGATAATTTTTTGTCTAGATTGAATTTTCATTCTTGATGATATGAATGTTCTATGTAATGTATGGTCGATCTTGTATTTGCTTGAATTTTGAATCTTTTGAGAATCCTTAGTTTCCTATAGAAACCCCCAAATTGATGGAGCAAATAAAGATTGGATTTGATGTTTAAGGCTTGTGTTATTGATGAGAAATTTGAGTAATTAATGATATAAATGAGTAGATTTAGGTTTCAATTCATGTTTTGACCAATTAGGGTATGTTTGGTTCCACGTTAAACACTGTGGCTGCTGGGATTCGAGCCCAGGTCTCCACGGCCACAACGTGGAATTCTCACCACTAAACTACAGCCACCCTTGACACTAATTGCTTATATAACCTTTATATCTATTAGTATTGCTGGAGTGGGTCGTTACACATGTAATGTTGTCCAAAGTTCAAAATGAGACTTTTACATATTGCCCTCTTCCAACCTAGCTTTTACTGAAGTATATACGAAGAGTTAATCACATATACATTGTTAGTGTAAAGTTTTTTTACACTGATAATCAATTATATCTTTTAATTATATTATGTCACTATAAACACATTTATTTTTAACAATGACATAATACAATTAAACAAACACTATTTTTATATTCGAATCGATCAAATTTTATCACAATTACCCGAAAATACATTATAACTATGCATCGATTAAATATGCATCAATTTTATTGGCACAACACCTTGACTCACCGGACAACAACCCTAATAGTGTGTTTGGATGAGGAATTTAAATGGAGTAATTCATTTATTTGAAGAATTTCAAATTCTTTGAGGTGAAATACCTTGTTTGGATGAAGAATTTATAAATAATTTGAAATTCAAGCATTTGTGAAATTCCTTGAAATAGTAGAATTTCAAATTCTCCCAAAAAAGTAAGAATTTGAAATTCCTCATTTTTTTTCTTCATATTTCACTTATATATTTTATCTTATCTCATATCTCTTCATATTTTTAAAATTATTAAATATTATCTAATATTAATTTTTAAAATTATTAAATATTTAGAAATTAGCTAATATTTAGTTTTATAAAATTTAATTTAAGAATCTCAACATATAAATATATTTTTAAAATCAAATTTATCATGGTAGAATCAAATTATCATATTTAACCCAACAATTTAAAATTTAAGAAATTTGAATTGACTTATCCAAACAAAATATTTTAAGAATGATGGAAATTGAAATCAAAGTAATTCAAATATCAAGAATTTAAAATTCCTTGAATTTGTAAAATTCTTCATCCAAACACACCATAACGTCCCATGGGAATTCTCCGATGCCAACCAAGCAAAGGTAATGTTTCGTCGCATTTGGATTTTAGAACCCGAACTTAAAATGTGGCCACCTTCTTTGTCATCATTTATTATCATGTAGTTCACCGGAGCTATCAAAATGCATAAATGTTTCGATAGGCACTGCTGAGGACTATTAGTTCAATGCTATCAGTTTTTTGTCTGTATAAACTTTCGGGGTCGTGTATTGATTTGACGCTTGATCACTATTAATATATAGTTTTAACGGTTCTAACCATCTTCTGTCATCTTATATATTCTATATTACATATTCAGTAATAGTGAATCTGGTGTTGGTTTGGACATAAAAAATTGGCGGACGTGAAAAGTCGTTGAGCATGTGTTGTGGTGCAATTTATTGCAGCTTTGTTCATTTTGCCCCTCTATTGTTGCTCTTTTGTGTGACTAGCTTTATTCTTTATTTTCTGAATTGCATAAGCTTATTAAATATCCTCTCTCTTTTTTTCTTTTTTTTAAAAAAAAAAACAAAATTCTACTTCTAAAATATTAACTATGACCTCTATACATTAAAGTCAAAGCATATACATTTTGTTCATATTGGGCTGAAGAGAGTCAACAATTGGTTAGGTCCAATCTAAATAAACAAAATTATTAGTTTTGACTCATGTTTACACTTATATATATATATATATATATATATACCGAAATGCATCTTTTTCACGAAGTTCTCATCCAAGCCTCATCTTCAAGATACAATAATTCTGATTTATCAGATGGCCCCTCTGCCAGCAGAAAACATCTTTACAATTATATTCCTTCCCTTAATATTTTCAGTATCCAAAGCTCGGCTTCATGCTCATTACTATGACCAAACATGTCCACAATTGGAAAAAATAATTTCAGAGACTGTTCTCAAAGCTTCTAAGCATGATCCAAAAGTCCCAGCTCGTATCTTGAGAATGTTCTTCCATGACTGTTTCATAAGGGTATGATCTTTCACTCAGGAAAAAATATATCATAAAACACGCACTTGAGAATGTTCTTCCATGACTGTTTCATAAGGGTATGATCTTTCACTCAGGAAAAAATATATCATAAAACACGCACATGCACGGACATATGCACACAATATTCATATTGATGAATGACTAAAGTGGCTAATGTGTGTTTGTATCAGTTGTGTGTAACGATATGATTATTGACTGATGTTAAATGATAGGGGTGTGATGCATCAATATTGCTGGACTCAACAGCCACTAACCAAGCTGAGAAAGATGGCCCTCCTAATCTCTCAGTTCGATGGTTCTAACTTCTATGTGATTGATGAAGCAAAAGCAAAACTTGAATTAGCTGGCCCACGCACTGTTTTTTGTGCTGATATAATTGCCATTTCAGCTAGAGATGTGTAGCCATGGTATTATCAAGTCTCCAAACTACCTTAGACCTGCTAAAATCTTGGAACTTTTTATTAGACACATTTAATGATCTCAAAATATTTCATTAAAAGGCTCCAAATCACATATGTTTGGATAATGCCTAAATACATTCTAGATATATATTTAAAATTTCTATACACAGTGATCACTCATTCCTGAGGATTTTGAATAACATATAAATGATTATACAGGATATATAGTATGTTGGATATTGATCTCTACATTTCCATAATGACCCCCCATGGAACATTAACATATCTTGAGGCAGGTGAAAGGAAGTTACTTATTTCAATGTCCATATTTCTTATTTACTTTAATAATCTGGAGGTCCATATTGGAATGTACTAAAGGGAAGGAAAGATGGAAGAGTCTCGAAGGCATCTGATACCATCAACTTACCCGCTCCAACCTTCAATGTGAGCCAGCTAATTCAGAGCTTTTTCAAAGAGAGGTTTGACAGTTAAATATTTAGTAACTTTATCTGGGGGTCACACTCTAGGCTTTTCTAAGAATGACTCCAGCCTATCAATAATTACAACCAACCAATCAATTACTTTCAATTATGTAACATACGTTCTTCCATCTAGAATCTATAATTTAGTGACCTCACATTGTCAACAGGTATGCATAGATCCCAGTTTCAAATCAGGAAGGCTCTCATTGTTAGATCGGGGTTTTATATATGCAATAGCTCATATACGTGGAGGTGGTGAAATGGGGAGGCAGTGGTATGAGAATGGGAAGCTGTTGAAGAAAAAGAACACTTTCACTGATTTTATTGCATGTGCTGAATATTTGATTGAAAATAAATTCTGTTCAAATATTATCTTGTTAATAGCATGCACAAAAACCTTACCGAGGTAATTAACATTTCATATAATTATACCTGGAGACACAAGCTAGAATAAGCAACAAAGCTGCAGTGATGACTGTCAAATTTTGAAGTGCTTCAATCCTTAAAACTGGCCATTCCATGGCCACATTAGAACGAAAGAACAGTGTTGCGTCTGTGTCCACAAGCTTTAAGTAATTTTTAAAGAATTTGTCTGTCATCTTTTATGCTCTTACAGTAACCACACCAAGTGATGTCTCCGATGCAAAATTCATGTTATAAAGTATTAACAAGTTTTAATACTTTACATAATTATAGTTTAAAATGATTTAGTATTATTTTTAGTTTTAATTTATCTTTTTTATGTGGTTGTCTAAACATTTCCGGTCAGCAGTACGGGACTTGAAAGCTCAACTCAAGCCAGCTTCTATGCAGGTATTGTTTACAATTAAGTGTTTTAACTGGATCTCTGAAAATAATCTTTTTCACTGATCATTCTTCATTCTTTATCAATTAATTTCAAAAGCACTATTGTTTTCCAATTTCTTTGAGTCATTTAAATATTGTTTCACTGATTCCTTACATCCATTTCTCGGGTTTTTTTTATATTGGATTTTATGTTTTACGTGTCTCATATTTTAGAAGAAATGTTTATGCTATGCTATCAAGTGCTAAATAGAGATTTCAAGTTTGCAGCATGGATAATTGCTTGCACGGTTTGTTTATTGGCAAAATTCTTTATGACTCAATTGATTTAGTTAAAATTTGTTTAAATCAGGTAAGAGTTATATTTTTCCTCCCTGTAAACCAAGACATCATTCCTCAGGAAATTTTCCTTTTGTTAAACTTTATTATGTTCTGTAGTTAATAAAACCTGCAAACTTTCCTTGGTTGTACTTTTGCAAACTTTTTTGTTTTGTATCTTCCCGTATCTTTTGGACCATTTGGATTCTGCTATTGTATGTTACAACAACCAGGTTGTTTAAATCTTGTGTTGCTATTTACATATAAAACGCTACAAGGTTAAAATGCTAAATTATCCTCCAGGCACCTTTGCAGCTGCTCAATACCTTATATTTATATATATATATTGTCATTCATCAATCTCTGTTGAACAATCCTATGCAGTCCAGGACCACGAGGTCACTATTAGTTGTAAACTGTTCAGTATTTTTGGGATCTTAACTGACCACTTATTTAGATGTTGAATCAAGAAAAAAAAATTGCAATTTTGTGGTGGTTTAAAACCGCCACAAAATTTATCTAAGATTTTTCTATAATAATAAAAATAATTATGACCAAATATCTTATAATAATAATATTTTAAAAAAATAGGGTGTTACACAGACAAAATAAAAATAAAAAATCAAGCTAAAACAAGTTAATTATGATTCCTAATTACATATATATTGTGTAAATAATGACCATTAATAATAAGTCACATGTTATCTATAAAATAAATGAAAGAAATAAATTAGCATACTAATATGAGGTTGATCCATAATGCATATATGAAGCCTTGTTTAAGGACTAAAAATAAGTAATTGCTACAATTTTGGTCATTTTAGACCAAATCAAGTAGCCTATTTCTAAAATATAAAAATTGAGAGAAAGAGTAAGTTAGTCATACAGATATGTAGCAAGTAATTCGTCTCAAAGTCAATAATCATCCTTCCCAAAAACACTTTGGTCACTTTGTAGAAAAAAAGTAGTACACGATAAAATTAAACCTATAAAAATAATATCAAAATAATTATATAATTAAATAACTTTTAATACGTGATTGGGTGGGGAGGGGTTAGGGTAGTTAGAAGCATGAGGACTTAGGTTCAGTCCTCATTGCGATCATCTTTCTTATCTTTATCGAATTTTTTTTTTAATATCTACGTACACTTTTCAAATTTAATTTTAGATGAAGCAACAATCAAAAAAATCTTGAAAGTTTAATTTAAATATATTCACACTACATAAAAAATGTAAATAAATTGCACTAATTAGAGAGTGCTTAAATAAATTAATAAATGTTCTAAATGAACATCTATAACATTATATAAAAGGGATATAAATATTCATAACCACTATTTAGTCTTCACTTTTAGTATGACCGTTTTACCTTTAATAACCACCATCTTAATATAAGTAACTGCCATCTCTATATTTTAAAAATCTTTTATCCCTCACCAAATAATCTTTTTAAACAACTGTACTTATTATTCTCACTCTCACAATTTAAGTAACTGCACTCATTATATTAGTATAGATATAGATTTTCTAGTACAAAATAAAAAGAAAGCATTTATTGAAACTAGAGGAGTAGAGACACTTTATGCCTCTAATAGTTATTCACTAATAAAATATTAGAAAGTTGTGTATAATTATTTAAAGAAAATTTAAGATTTTTTTTTATATCCGGGGGTATAATGGTCCATTAAAAAATGGAGAGCAAAAAGCAGTTACATGTCCTATATCCCCTTTATAACAGAATAAAAAGAAAGCATTTATTGAAACTAGAGGAGTAGAGGCACTTTATGCCTCTAATAGTTATTCAGTAATAAAATATTAGAAAGTTGTGTATAATTATTTAAAGAAAATTTAAGATTTTTTTTATATCCGGGGGTATAATGGTCCATTAAAAAATGGAGACCAAAAAGCGGTTACATCTCCTATATCCCCTTTATAATAGTTATAGATAATAGTTATTCACTAATAAAATATTAGAAAGTTGTGTATAATTATTTAAAGAAAATTTAAGATTTTTTTTATATCCGGAGGTATAATGATCCATTAAAATATGGAAATCAAAAAGCGATTACATCTCCTATATCCCTTTATAATAGTTATAATAGTTATAGATTATAGATACGTGCCATTAAAAATTTACTTATAAAGAACGCTTTAGAGCAAAAGTGATGAGCGTATTCAATTTATTGTTTATATTTTTAAAATTAAAAAATAAAAATATCCTAATGCAATTTTAAAGATGGAGAACATTTGTTTGTTTGGCAAGCCTGTCTATTCATACAAAACAACTTTACGCGCCAGACTCATTATTCCCATTGTAAGTTACTTCATCTTCTCCTCTTCTCATCATCCATAGCCACACCCGCTACATTCGATTCCTCCGAAATTGTTCGTGAGTGATTCTATTGTTCTTGCGTCTCCTCTACCGTCGTTCGCGACGCTGCAAGATTCTTGGGTCTCTCCCACCGTTAGCGCCCAGGTTATTTAAACTTCTTTTACCATGTAGTATGTCTTTAGTTTCTCATTATTTTTGTTTAGGGTTTTTACATTTTTGTGTTTCTATTATGCCTCACCAATGCACCCGAACCCTGTGAGGTACTGAAAAGTTTCTACTTTTTTTTGTTAATCTTGGAACTGTCATTCGTGGTGGGTCCGTGCTGAAAAGTTTCTATTTTACTGCTGAAAAGTTTCTGCAATTTCGTCTATTAAAGAGAGAGTGTTTGGCAATTGATGTGATTGGGTGGTGAAGAATGTGAATTGATTAGTTTGGAAATAATGTTATTTATGTTTTGTGGGAGTTACTTTCCTTACGTGGTTGTTTGTTAGGTGGGGTCTAGTTTGTCTTCTTGTTGGAATTGTGGGCATATACTATTATTCAATCGGTGTCTGAGGCCCCAGGAATCTGTGACTACTTTTGCTTCTTTTTGTGCATTTTAAGCCAAACTGCTGATAACAGCAGAGGAAAAGTTGAAAAACCCTTTCGCTCTGATTATTGTCCTCGAAGTCCAGTGCTTTGGCCTGAGGCTTCAAATAGAATGGAAAGGAGGTACCAAGGGGCAGGGATCACAATCATATAATATATGATAATAAACAAAATTAAAACTATAGAATGTTAGATTTCAGAGGATAGAATATTGGCAAAGGGTCCCACACAAGGTCAAAAAAATGTTATTGTGTTTTGGGATGTAGTGTGCCACAACAAAATCTAAATAGTGGTGCCTACATTTACTATCGGTTAAGGTGCTTACATTTATTGTCTGTGTCTCGAACATGATTGTTTTGAAAGAGTGAAACATGTGAGAAACGAAAAAGACAATGCATGTTTTGTATTAGCTAAGGTACTAGAAGAATGACACCAAAGTGAGTAGATAACACCAAAGTGAGATTTATGACACCAAAGTGAGTAGATAACACCAAAGTGAGATTTATGAACGAATGTGTGAGGAAGGTGGTCCTTATATAGAGGGAGGCACATGGAAATAGCAAAGTTGGAAATAGGTGGAAATGGCCATATATTTTAGGAAAACAAAGGGAAGTAAACCGGTGGTTTTTGGAAAGACAATGGGCTATATGATTAAGAATCAGATACATGCATCCAGAGTTATAGGACTAAGAAGTAGGAACACGTGTATGTATTTACTAAGTGCTATTGAATTTGACGTGGCATCTTTCCTTGCAGCCTCATCATATTTTGTATGGATCCAATCCAACACATAATATATAAGCATTAATATTTAATGAAATCATAGGAACCTGTAACCTTTGAATGAAAAATATAACATGATATGTAGGAATAAAGATCTAGCAGTATTTTATAAAGATGAATGTATTTCCAACTTAAAAAAAATGACTTGGCAATTGCCATTATCATAATTACCTTTACATGACATCTACTAGTCATAATACGATACTTGTTTTACTATACAATAACCAGGACTAAGCCAACATGGAAATAGATTATAGAAATCCCAGGTCTCATTCATTTTTGTGGCTACAAATTAAATTAAAAAATAAAAAAGAAATTGTCTGCTTAGTTGGGACCCCAACAACTTAAGTACATAACAGTTCTTAAGCACTCCTCTGACTGCTTTTGCCCCTTCAATCCGAACCATAGAAAAAGAGGAAAATTTAATTGCCTGTGACAAAGCTCCAACGTGGCTTTTCACTTGTTTCTGAGCTAATATTAAAGCATAGTTCCACCTGCTTATGCCCTGGTCCTTCAAGGCCTCCACAACTCCAACACTAGTTGCCACAATCCATGCTCTCCTTGCTGAATTCATTTTGCTACTTCTATGGTCAAAACTTCTTTCTTATGTTTCTTTTAAATGTTGGAAAACATGTAGCTGCAGTTTATGTTAGTGTAATGTGGTATTCAAGAAAACACTGGCAAATTAGATGTTTGTTTGATGAGGCAAATGTAGAGAAGTGTTACTTATATTGAGAGAAAGTGGCTAAGTTAATTTTGAAAAACCACTGGCATGAGAAACCATGACAGAATATTGGCAGAGTCCCACACAAGGTCAAAAAATGTTAATGTGTTTTGAAAGAGTAAAACATGTGAGAAACCAAAAAGACAATGAATGTTTTGTATTAGCTAAGGTACCCAAAGAATGACACGAGATAAATAGGATACTGCTGCTCTCTTTTTTTAGGTTGCGTATAATATGTTAATTTTTTTTTTTTCTTTTTCACTCGAGAAAGAATTGGCCTACTTTTTTAGGTTTGCTACTTGACTGGAGCATTAAATACTTGTGCTATGTTTAGTAAATACGCAATTTCCTTGGGCACCACTTGTGAGTGTGTAGGGTCACGCTACAACCAACTTATGATGTCTGTTCTGCTGAATCATTTTGGGTCCAATAATAAGCATCACTTGTATGTGTATGCACAGTCAGAAAGCAACAAAACAAGTACAAGAATGTTTCTTTGCTTCTACTTCTTAATGGCATCATCTCCTTTTAGTTTCTTCCTATCAGAATTATAAGTGGCCTGGAATAACATTACTTAAAATAAAATCATCAGAAAAGCTTAAACTTACAAATTACAAATATCCAAAAATAAACCAATGTAGGTTCTTAGCTTCAAATATATAACTAGGGTATATTCGGTAAATTAAGCGAATGAAATTGCATGCCTGAGTTTGATTCAGCACAAAAAATAACATTTAAAAAAAAGGTGTTTAAAGACAGTGACGGATCCAAAAATTTTAGATAGTGGGGGCAATACTTATTTATATATTTGTAGTATTAAATTTTTTACATATATAACTTTTAAAAGCATAAATCTATTATCATAATTATTTTTTACCAGCTTTTATATTTACGATTACAAGTAAATATGAAAATAAATTAGGTTAGACTAAATTTTATTATAATTTAATAAGTTTGAACATAACTTTTTTTAAAAATATATATATAAGTATGACTTATTTATTTATCATAGATATTTTTTTAAATTTTTAGTTAGAACTACAATCCTAAAGACATACTTTATAATAATTCAACACTATTAAAAATATAAAATAAATATGTTAAATTTTATAAAAATCAAGTTTAATTTATTTATGATATAAACATGTTTTTAATATCTAATACGTATTTTCAGATGATAATTTATTTTAATATATATTTTATAATAAAAATTATAAATGGAACATAAATCTTTCGATTTTTCTT